AGTCACGAATGCTCAACTGTGGGAGAGAACAAGCCAAAGGCCAGTAAAAGAAGATATTCAGGTGAGGAAATGGAAATGGATTGGACACACCCTGAGGAGACCCCCGACAAGCATCATCAGGCAGGCTTTAACGTGGAACCCACAAGGAAAGCGTAAGAAGGGGAGACCAAAGATGACATGGAGGCGAGCGGTACAAGCTGAAATTGAAAAAGCAGGGACATCATGGAAACAGACAGAAAAGGATGCTCAGGACAGGCTTCACTGGAGTAATGTTGTTGATGGCCTGTGCTCAACTGGGAGTTTTAAAAAAAGGGCAAGAGAGAGAGATACTTGCTTAGACGAGAGAAAATTTACATTATTTGTTTGAATTTTTCAGAAAATGAGGTACTTTTATGTAAAAAGTATGGGAAGCCAATATATAAGAATGTATTTTCTTTCACACCCTCAGAGCTTTTCAGTAGAGGTTAGTTTACAGTGTAATTTCCCTCTAAAGAATTGCCCTTCGTGCTTAATTGACATAACAAGGTGTGAATGGTATTCTGGCAGTTGTACAACATAAAAAGAACAATTCAGATGTGACTGAAGGGCACCAAGCAAAATGTGGAAAGACTAGTCAGTCCAGGAAGCTTAATTGGCTGAAACGCAAACTTTGGTTAAGTCTCCAAGAGTTCCAATTTAGCACCCGCTGAATGTTTTATGGTCTGAAAAAAAAATTTGCAGTCAAAAAAAGTCATAGGGGCTTAAAATGTCATTCGCTGGCGAACTGAGATCCAAAGTCAGGACTCAATATAGAAAGGACGACTGTTTTTATTCAGTTGCAACTTCAAAATTTTTAAGCAGCCACCATGTTCTGTTATATTAGTAGTTGCATCTTTAGAAAAAAAAGTAAGGACATCATTGAGATCTCAAGATGCTTTAAAGATAGATGCCATTCATTATGTTGTATCCTGTCTAAAAGCAAATGAATATTAGCAGATCAGTATTCAGGATCTGATGACCATTTTGGAAAACCATCTGCATGAGGTGAGTGGCACAGGATATTTATATTATAGACCACAATACCTGAAAAAGAAACAACTGATGGGGTGCAAGGGAAAGCATATAACATAATGGAGGTTGATGGGGAGCAGGTGTTTTTACATTTAAGTAATCGGCTTCTTCAGTCATATGAACACAAGAATTTTATGAAACACCAAAGGGCATTAATGATGCCAGGCAGAAGCAAATTGTCAAGGCAACTCATCAATTAATCAAAAATCTACATTTGAAAAAAAAGTCAATCCATCAGTAAATTTAATTGGATGCATTCAAGGAGAAGAATATATGCGATAACTTCGCGGCCTCTTGGTGCTGCTTCTTGAAACTGTCAATATGTTCTACAAATCACATCTGAAAATAGTTGCCAGCCAACCGAGATCTATGATTGCTCCCTTACAAGAAGGAATTTGCGTATTTTTCCATCGCCACCTCCCTTCAAGGCTTCTTGTGAACTTACTTACATACTGCTGCTGTTGGGTCTCTCACTGGAAATGTTCATGACAATAGCACACAGCTGTACTCAGTTTGAAGCATTCAACTTTGACCACAACATAAGGACTCCAGACGGAGAAAGGACATTTCATAGCATAGGGATCACATCAGCGCTCACACCTACTCAACTGAGAAAAATGTTTATACCTCGGTCATCAATGTAAAAATCCACCACTTTCCAGGTGGCTCAATAAAGGGAAGCCTCTGGGAGTGAGAAGACAGGGATGCAACAGAGTAGGCCTATCATTTTTTCTTTAAGAGAGTTTCTTGAAGTCTAGCAGTAGTCTTTCAGATACCATCTTTCATCAACAGTGCTGGGGTTGAAAACTTGACTCTGATCGACAAACTCTTTTCAATTCATACGAACAAGGAACTAATGTAATACGTGCCTCTCCAAACCTGTGATATATTTATGTAAATTAGACTGCAGTTCCATGAAATGCACCTGCAAGAAAAAAGAACTAGATTGCTCTCCTGCCTGCAAATACAGAGGTCCCAGTTGCTCTAACATCCGCGGCTGTAACACAAGATTTCAATGATGGAAACGAAGATAACATGTTCGAAGAAAATCCCCTCTTGTCACCATGAATGTTGGCTGAAATTGTTTTGTCCACACCTGAAATGTCACTGACTTATGGTGACTCTCTTCTTCTTCTTCTCTTTTTCTTCCTCTTCTTCTTCTTCTTCTTCTTCTTCTTCTTCTTCTTCTTCTTCTTCTTCTTCTTCTTCTTCTTCTTTTCTTCTTCTTCTTCTGCAATTGTATCTCTTCATAAATAGCTAGTTCTCGTGGTTGCTAGTATCAATGTAGGCCTACAATGCTACTCTTATTTTTTTTTGGCTCCCATAAAAAAATCTGAGGGTTAAGGACTCGAAGTTCTCCAGTTATTATAAAAAACGTAAATTTTAAGGAACAGAGTACCATGCAGTGGTGTAAGATTAGGTAATAATAATAATAATAATAATAATAATAATTGCATTTATATAGCGCATATCCATGCTCAAGAGCATGCTCTATGCGTTTTACAACTATTATTACCCCAGCTGACCCTCTGAGAACACTCAGAAATATTCTCATCTTCCGAGGAAGTATACAGTGCAAGCTGCGGATTTCACGCCCTCAAACACTATCAAACTGACAAGATCTTTCACTGTCTATAGCCGGGTTCCAATTTACACCTGGGTGAAGTGAGGAAAATTTGTGCAAAGTGCCTTTCCCAAGGACACAACGTCAGGCCCCTGACGGGATTCGAACCCACAACCTTACGGTTGCGAGTCCGAGAGCCTAGGTGTGTTGTAAGACATGTAATTCTGAAATAATTTGGTATCGATATATATGACTATTCCTTTAAACGGCATTTTAAACAAATTTCCTCCTTTCCGATTGATGCCAATTACATTCTCGGAGCCAGTCACCTAGATCTAGTCTTAGTCTTAGCACAGGTACTTGAGTTCAAATAGGAAAAAAAGGAGGATTCCGGTAAGGTCCAGCTGTAGGGATGGTCCCGCTGTAGCAGGTGCCTCTATAGTCAGGTTCTACTGTATATATTATTACGCCAATGTTTAGAGAAAAGATTGGCCTTTCAGTTGAGTTAAAACAAAAATTGCTTTCTTTTTTAAAAAAAATAGCAATTTCTGGTGATTCCACTTTTTACTCTGTACTTCTTACAGCTTCTTTCATCGCTTTATCATTTCACCTGCGATTTAAATTTAGGAAAAAAATGGCATGTAAATGACACAAAATGGACACTTCACCTCGCTCCTCGCTCACAGGCACTTTCCAGTGCGCAAACTCATACTGTTGGCCTACCGTACCTACTTAGAGGGTCGGTGTAAAAATAAAACAACATGTGGAATACACAATACACAACATTCTTTTTTCCAGATATGAAACTAATTTACTTGTTCAGAGAATTTACCAAAGCACAACTCTGAGCCCCACACTTGTGACTTACGAAGTTTGAATGATGGTCTAATGCAATAGCTTGATAACTCACCGGCGCAAATAGCTTCCTTGTTGCTGGAGTGCAGGTTTCACCTTGTTATTTGGTGTGGCTGTGGCGGGTGATGTACGAGGGTAAAAACATCCAGAACCAGTTCTTAATCCTGTCATGCCAGCATTATTTCCCCCCACACCTAAAGTGGAAAAAAAGTCCTGTTAGCATATTATGGAGCCTAAAAATAATTATATTGAGTGAGGCTACAGTTTTCATACTCAGCACTTATGTAGTAGGCCTAGTTTCAAGAGTGTTGATACATTTTTCAAGAAGGCCTGCACAAAGGTAATGACAATCAACGTTTTTTTAAACTGCAGTCAAGTAAAAAATGTGCGTACACAAAAAGGAATTGAGATTTGCTGCAAATGTGTAATACTTGGGTTTTTGTCAACAAGACAACCTTTACAGCATGAAGGATGAAAGGCAAGAAAAGAAAGATCTAAAAATGATAATAAGAGAGAAAGATCAATCAATGTAAAGCAAAGAAAACAATGACTTTATCTCAAATTTGAGAAATGCACTGGGCCACAGAGCAAAAGTTTTTCGAAATTAGAATTCTAGGGATATGAGAGCAGGACTCCTGCCTAATAAGATTTTCATGTTCTTGAAATATTTAAGTATTTCCTAATTATATTTATGGTGTGACCATCTGCCTGCTCTGCCGTCGTAAGGGAAAACGACGAATGGTCCTGCTCAGGTAGCGAGGCAAATTTTTCAGGAGAAGCAAAAACTCTTTTCACTTTATAATTCTTCTATTTTTCAATCTTTTAAGCTGTAATTCACCAGATATTTGATTGAGGTGTTCATAAAGCAGTTTCTAAAGTTTGAATGGTTTAGGTTGAAAAGTAGCAAAGTTATTCGACATTCGTTGTTCTTCCCTACACTGCGCACTCGCAGGTGAGCCTTGCGATGTATGCGAAAACGACGAATGGTACGGTTAGTCGTTCTCCTTTACACTCGTGAACGTTTATGGGCGTAGGCGATGGTCAGTTGTGACGCATTGTTGACAGTAATGACTGTGAACTGGTTACTACAAATAAAAATAGGACGTATACAAACTAGCTATTATACGTATAAAAGTAGGTGTTTGTTATATCCCAACTGTAACTCGGTAAACGTCCTTCGTTTCCCTTTCTCGCTTGGTCAAATACTACACAGTCAGGGTACAAATCAGATGTGCACACATTTTCAACAGCTTGATTAAAAACTGTCTCATTCGGAACCAAAGTTTGGTCTCCATGATATCTCTTTATTGTATTCTCTTCAGAAGCGAGTTTTACTTTTATTTTCGCTAATTACAAAATTTTCCCTTCACGACCAAAGGGATCAACAATGTTATAATGTCAAGAATACGATCAGATCATTGCAAAGTCAAACTTTCTCGTAAGAAATGTTACAATCTGACAAGACTATCACAAACGCTTTCGGGAGAGGTAATGCGACGCGTTGTATTTATTAAATAAAGGATTCAGTTGATCGGATCGGAAAACATACCACAAAGTAGAGATCGACAAGGACAGTTTGAATCTGCAAGACATTATTATACTCGATCGTAACGTCCGTCAAGTCATAAAAAAACGTCAAGTGTAAAGCAAGACTAGGTGTTGCCACAATACGTCCACTTTTTAAGTTGGACAAAGATATTTACTCTCATAACGCAGTGTCATTAATTGCATGGTAATTCTATAATGATGTCGACCAGTGACAAGTGCTAGACAAATTGCGGCACTATAACCATCGTTGGGATTTGGGATGTCAAATGACTGGACAGCAAACTAGCATGACGTCAGTCTGTTAACATCTGGCGGACACTAATATGCAGTGCTAATAAATTTCTCCCTAAATACTCTTTTGACCCTCCCATCCCCACCCCTTTCCCCCTGTTCCCATCCGTTTTCCCCACTCTCCCGCCTGCTCTTGTCAGTTCACACCATCAGCATAGGCCTAATACGTGAAGACAGACAGAAAGACACACTATGTGATACATTCTTATAAACCATCGACGGTACTCCGGGGGAGGGGGTGGTGGTGAATTTGTTTGCGAAAAAAAACTAGTATGTTTGTACTGACGCAACAGTGACCAACTGTCATAATTTGTCGCCCATGCCGAATTTGCCCAACGGCAGAGACCAGGGGACAACGCCGAATGAGCAGTGATCCTTGACCGATCGACCATTCGTCGTTCTCCCTTACACTGAGCTCTGGCTCGGAGCTCGCCAGTGACAAAAAATTTTACACCATCAGATACAGATTTAAATACTCTATGAAATATATAAAAATTAAAAACTCGAAAAATTTTGACCATTCGTCATTTTCCCTTTCGACGGCAGTGCTGGAATCATATATATAAATATCAGAGATAATGCAGATTATGAAAGGTAAAGGAGAAAAAAAACAGATTGCTTTCAACTTAAGAGTTAAAGAGCTAATATGTGTTGAAAAGTGGGGGGCAAAAACCCACAATAATATCATATAACACAAAACAAACACAAGCAAAGAAAAGCTTCAGGTGGACTTTACCTAAAGAAGCTCCATCAATGATCTTGGTGGACAAAGTAGGGACTGTTCTAACAGCTTGATCCCCTGAACCGACACAGGCTGTTTTGTTACTGTTCTTCTCATCCTCTTTCGTAAGGCAATTGCGCACTTTGTCCCACAACCATGTAATCTCCTCATCTGTTGGGGTGCGGTCAATTCTTATTCCGTTCTCATCATAAACTGGCATTTTATTGGAATTGTCGTTGTTAATGTTGGCATAGGTAGGAATACCATTGTTTGCCTGCTGGATAGCAATCTTGCTGGTCCTACTGACACTTGCATTAGACACAGGTACCCTTTTGCTAGCCGATATTCTCCCTCTTTCAGACAATGCTTGCTTCTGCTGTTGCTGGCTGTTAGTATCTTTAGCCAAAGGGTCACCCCTTCCATAGTCATTAGTCTGGCCAGAAGTTGCCCCTGATGTCCAAACTCTAGTTGTTTGATACACCACACCATTAGTTTGACCATCTACAGGCACTTTCACGGGAACCTTGGTCATGAAGTTGTTGTTAACAGCCTTCACTTTAGCCTCGAAGTGGGACTTATGTGCTGTTGAGGCAGCTGCCCCTGAAGAGGGGCTTGGAGGACTATGTTCAGAGACTCCAGTGGATGTCTTGTATTCCGCGTGATGGTCAGGGCTCATAATGATGTGGGCAGCAGCCTTAGGCCGATTGATTGAAGTAGTTGTGTTCAGTGAAGAACAGTGAGAAGGTGGCAGATTGGATTTGGCACTTGAACTACTAGAATTATCATTTGAGCTATTCTGATCCGCACTAGGAGTTAATACTGGAGTCTGAGATGAAGGAGCTGTCCTCACCGTACCAGCACTAGCTGTTCTGTGTGCTTTTTGAGTACTGTCTACTCTCTGTGTTGCTGGGGTTACCTTTGCTGACAATGGACGTGCTACTGCTGGTTCTGAAATAGACAGTTGTCCCTTCCATTATTTGATATTGAGCAGCAATTTATTACACTAAAAGCCACTTTTTGCCAGCAACAGGTCTGGGTTAAAAGTAATGCTGAATCGATGCAAAAGAAGCAGCCCAATAACCTATTTCATAACCTGATAACAAAAATTCTTGGCATGTGTATGGCATCATGGTGAAATCAGGTCCTTGTCGAAATAATGAAATCGCAGAAACTGACATTCCTCCACCCAATGGGCAATTTTTACTGGGTTTTTTTTTTTTTTTAATATTTTTTTTTGGGGGGGGGGGGGGTCAACAACCTTAATCTCAATTTAACAACACATTTCTATGTATATTTTACTGAAAAACATTGAACAGAGGCACATAAATATGAAGTAAATTTGCAGTTTCCAAGGATACTCAAACACACTCAAACTTAGGAGGACACCGAACTATAGCAGCTATTTTCTTGTTAATTTTAACTCTGATGCTAGGATATACCCACATCCTTCAATCACAAATACTGGGTGTCTAAAAAATTTTTTTAATGACCAGCTTAAACGGCAATAATTCGATTATCCATGAACCAATTTTAATCAAACTTTGCAGAAATAAAATTTAACCACGCGCACATAATGGAATTACATCAAGAGGCTCGCCCAGGATAGGGAAAGGTGTAAGGTGTTTGTCTGTGGCCTATACCCTGGTGCAGGGTGAGAAAGGCAATGATGATGATGATGCGCACGTTATAGAAAGGTGTAATTTGCATTTTTTTCTATCTGGCACACAATTCACTATGAAGTAATTCCTCCAAATACAACTTTGTGTATCTAATAGCAAATAAAACCATGAATATTCACATATTTTCTCGAAAATTTATAAAATACCTCTCTATGAAAAAGTACAAATCGATTTTAATGCCAGAATACCTACAATGTAATACACAAAAAGTATCTGTTATACTCCAGAAACTCCTTACTTTACTTAAAACACTAAGTCTAGGTTTTGTAAGCTGACTGAATAACAGAGATGGCTTTTCGTAATCGGGTTATAAGAATAATTTCTAGCTTTCCAGTGACACTGAATCAGCACCAGACTTTTCCAGCTTTTATTTGCAATAAGTGAGAATGTTCTGATTTCTTTAAATTCATAGGTGTCATATTACTTCCGACACAAAAATTAAGAATGAATGAGTTAGCTGTCATTATTTTATTCTATACAAAAAGTTTATCTACCTACCCATGTTTTTACAAAGTTTTCGTGTTTTAAAAAAATCGCATAATATCTTTCTTAGTTGTATGCAGGCTGCCACAGACACAGCATGATTCATGAACAAACGCAGAGTAACTTTTTCTTGTTTAATGGTAAAACAAGAGCTAACACTGAGTGTCTTTAATTTAAAAATGCAGACGTGCATCTTTCTTTTCTTATAACTTGACTATTACTATTTGCGCAGATTTAAGACTTCTCATGGTAAAAGACATTCTTAGTCAGTTTACCATAGATTTTGGAGAGATCTGTAACGTCGTTTTTAAATAAACAATAATTTATTCATAAGTGTGTAACTGAAATAGGACAAATTGGGTACTCTACAAACACAGCTAGAACTAAAACTAAGGCACAAAAATTAACCATTCTAACGCAGAAGAAATCTCAAGACTGAGCTTTTAGTACATCAGTGTAATGGTTTGCTGTGTGGGATGAAGAAGAAGTTATATCGTTCCAAACGTAAACAAAAATACAAAATTCTTAAGCGACACCAGCAAAGTCGCTTCAGGGCTCATTAACCCCGTGACCCCGAGCCGGGGAGCTTCGGCAGGCTGCTGAGTCACGCTAACTAAAGGTAACAGAATCTGGCGAAAAGTGACGCCGTGGGCGCAATAGATGAAACAAACAAAAATAATTGGTATACACGCGATCGAATCTGGTGTGCTTGAGATTTGGGACACAAAATCTGGATATCCTGATTAAATCGGGATAAGTGGCTGCCACTGGAAACAGGCCTACACAGCACAATACATCCTCATCTCTAAACATCTCCAAAACTTTCTCGGCACGTTTAGAGATATCTATTTGAGGTGACTGTTGCGGTTTTTACCGTCTTTGTCCTGAAATCAGAACGGGATAATCACACCCCTGTAGCTGAACACCTATATAAGAAGTAAAATTTTGCATTTTACCCAGCATTGGTTGAAATTATTAAAACTTGATATATATCTCAAACACGTTGATTGATTCTCTTCATATTTACAAAATAGATGGTTGAATTTTAATTATTTGAATTTTTGTTGAAATTAGTGCAGATAGAAGACAAAGTTATTACCCTTTAATGGAGTCCTCTATTTTTAAGATACCCTGAATCTTCTGATCAAGACAGGTGGGTATTTTTTTCACCAAAAGCTAGATAAAAATGAACAGCTTTCAGACAATACTGATAAATGTAACTCCTTAAGCCCAAAGTTGACGAGTGCCTGCTTCCACTGTGTCATGACACATATGAACACATAAATATGATGAAAGAAAGACGAGGTGAAACACAGAAAAAACATTAGTCAAGAAAAGAAGGAGAAAAAAGGACCTCCATAAGGTAACTAGCAACTTCATAAATGAATATATTGTTCTTAGTGAGAATGCCCTTTCTTTAGAAAAGCAATTATTGTAAAAAAATTTCACATCAAAATGGAAAAGCAATTGAAACTCAGGAACTGATGATACTCACTATATAAATGTGTTCCAGTGTTGATGATGGCCAAGCCTTTTGTTCCAGTACTATCATTGTTCTCTGTTGTATTATCTTCCTCATCCTTGATTTGGTGATCTGCAAAACGTACACTCTTCTTCTTGCCCTGAAAAATACAAGGCACAACATTGCATGTCTGCCACAGGCTAAATTACCCACAACAGGAAGGCAGAAAGCTCAGTTCAGAAACTAATCGTTTAAAATATTAGCTTGATGTCCATCTAACACCATAGATGACAATGCACACACTAACTAAACTTCAAACCAAGAAAAAATTGCACAATATGCCGTATCACTTGATGTTTACCAGAAACAGATGACACGTAGTAAAAAATGTTTAGCAATTAGATCTACATGTATATGGTTTTATAACTGAATAATGAATTAGAACAATTCACTTAGCTGTCTTTCAAAATATAAGCCCAGTGTCTAGTAAAATCGTCATGTCCACGTTCACTAAGAAATTTGATGAGGTTAAATGATGTGGAAAAACACACAACAGTGGCGTCAGGTGGATTGTAAAGAGGGTGAGGCTTGCTGTGACTAAAAGTGGGGTCACTCAGATTAGAAAGATGTATAACGACTAAAAAGACAGTCAAACATGCACATAAAAAGACAATGTGAAAATAATATATATAGCCTATATGTATTGTAAACTTGCTAGTGGCAATACCATATGTTTAAAACCAGGACAATAGACTTACCTTGCATCTTTGTACATGTATATGATTTGGGCCCTTTGGTTTTTCTCTTGAGCAAACTTGCCATAGACTTTTTGGTTGAACAATAAATCCTTGAAAATATCCATCTACAACAGAATACTAAAATTGTGCTGGTTGATGTGGTTTCAGTCTCTTTATAGTAAGCTTATCATCATGTCATTGAGAACTAAAGCAAGTTTCCAATAAATTATAGGCCTTTATACGACTCATTGCAGCATTAAAGAAAATAAAAATGACATTCTAATTTAAAACTAACTTATCTGACAAAGGTGATTATTTCATTGTTTATCCAATCCCCACACAAAGAGCACGAGTGTGCACAGTACCCAAAACATCACTGTCTGTTAACCCACCCAAAACTACATTCAAGTGTATACATCATATCGCTATGGTGCACATGACAATTTAAACCCAATGACATGCTCACAGTAATGAAACTTTAACAAAATACCAAAACACCAGAAGCCATGGAAAGGGGGGGGAGCATGCTCAGTCCACACCTTGGGATGGAGCCATGACAGTATGCAAATTAAGTGTCAATAAGAGATGTCGAGGCTTACGTCACACAATGCTTAGGTTTAGATGTGCAGCTGAAGCCTCGCGTGCTAATAGAACCAAAAGTCTTTTTGTTTCAGCCTTGATCCACGCAAGGTCAATATACCCCAGTTATATTCAGTCTGTGGAAACATAACCACTGTGACTTCAGGCCATGGACCTTACAACAAATGGACTCCCTCTCTCTCTTCGCAGCACTCTGTGCCCAGCATGGCAAAGTGAAGAGTAAAAATGGCCGCCAACTTTTGCAAGCCTGTTTCGATCCAGTTTTTCGTCAAGTATGAGTTAGTTTTGTTGTTTTGTCACCGCAAATCATGACAAGAAAGCGAATACTGAAATCTTCATGGACGAGAAAAAGAAAAAAACTGCCACAAAAAACAACAGTGCCACAGCGATTTTTGTATTTGTTGAAATACATGAACCATGTCTTTAGTTTTGTTTTAGGCATAAGCGGCAAAGAAGTAAAAGTAGACCGAAATCTAGAAAAACAGGCGATCAGATTGATTTTAGTGCCTTGAAAACTTCGAAGAAAAGCTAGATCTAGACCATAGATTTACTATATAGGCCTATTAAGTTGCTGTGGCTAAATCGAGTGCACTCAATGAGTCGCAGTTGGACAAAGAATATATCGTTTTCTCTGCTCTTTCCTTCATCTTTTTCTCTAATAAAATTACATTGATACCCTAAGTAGTTTGGGCACAATGCATGTCTAAGTTTAGCGTGTCAAGTTCAGACCTATTTTTCACCCGGCTCGCTGCAAGCCAGGGTGGACACAAGTGTACTGCCGCGGCAACGCAGGGTGAATTGGGTTAACGTACTGGGTAGGGAACATTTGTCTGCTACTAAACTAAGCATGTACTTTTGTAGCTCATGAAAGAAATGTTATTAAGAGCTTTCTTTTCAAGAAAAACAAAACGTAGTGCTTTGAAAAACATGTGTAAAATCACTTAATTAAAAAAATTCTTTAATACCCTATGTGTGAGAGTGGGTGTGTGGGTGTGTGGGGGGAGGGGGAATGGGGATGAAATAGTGAGGTGACATGACCTGGAAAGCCAAAAGAGCCAAAGAGTTAAGTTTGATGAGCTTTCAAAAGAGAACAAAAATATCACGTCTAGAAAAACGAATATGAACCGACTAACCTTTCTCTCAGGGTTCATTCGGGCCAGCTCCAAACTATCACGAGGAAATGTCTTCACTTGGTTAGGTCTGCCTGTTGCCTGGCCAAGGACTTTAGGAGTCGCCTGTTTCAAAATCCCACGTAGAAGTGGGGTCTTTTCTGTCTCTACTGTTTCACTGTCCATTTCTAACTCGTCAGCCTCTTCCAGAGCCTCTTTGGGAGAAGGGTCAAGGACAGAGACAGATGATTCTTGTTTCAAATTTGGAGGACAGTTAACAACTTCCCAATGCACCTGCAGTGTCGCACTTGCATTACCACTTGTACTAGTAGGTGCAGGTGGACAGTTCTTGGGGAAGACTGTTCTTACTGCTGGGACAGGAATTGGCCCACCGACCATCTGACCAGCTTGGCTTATGTGTGTTTGCATTGGTTCAGGAGAAGTATCCAGACAGGGGACTGAGGGAATATGTGACACTGGTGATGTTCGTTGTTGAAATGTACTAGAAACCTGCTGGTATGATTGTACACTAGAAATAGGTACTTTTGTTATGTCTGCTAAACCGTAGTTGATGTTATTATTAGCAGTGTTCCCCTTATATTGGGAGGTTGTCAACACTGTGGAAGAGGATGCCTGTGACTGGCTGTAATATATTATCTGACTGGAACTGATGCCTCCACTCGGATAAATATGAGACAGTGGGTAACTCATATCTTGGGCTGTCATATTCACAAAATTACTTGCCCTGTTGTAATTTTGAGTTGAAGAACCAGCTGCACTCACAGGGCTCATATCCTCTTCTGCAGAATACATAACAGGGTGAGGACCAGAAGTTATTGGGAAGGGTGTTGTTGAAGTCATAGATGTCAGAGTTCCTCTTGTGCTGTAAGGGTGTTGGTTATTTGCCACTTGAGTACTGTCTGATGAGTGTTGATCACCAAGGGCTGGGTTGTTCCCAGGCCATATGGACTGCCCAATGGCTGAGGCATAGCGTGGATGGAAATCAGACATGAGAAGGTCATTTTGTGTTGGGGTGGATGTTTCTGTCAGAGTACAGCTATTTAATTGGGGAGATGGGGATACCCATGCTGTTGAGCTGGAAGTGACGGCACCAGTTGTAATACCAGCTACCTGATGTTCCTTACTTCCCTGCTTAATTACTGGAACTCGGTCATGAGCACTAACAGTGCCTGAAACATTTTCTTGTGAGTTGGGCTTGTGTTTATTTGCTGGGCTATTGTCAGGCATTTTGATCACTGATATACTACTACAGGAACTTGCTGAGTCTAACAGTGAATCCTCAGACAGCTGCTTAACAGTATCATCACATTTCTCCAGACCTATGGCAGTTCCAGTCGCAGCAAATGACCTACCACCATGATCTCCCATCAGATCCCCTCGAGTCAAGCCCACAAAGGAATTATGGTTTTCTTTTCTGTGACGCATTTGTACAAGGCTATTCAAAGGAATATTTCCATACCCTGAGGGATTCAAATGAGGGTCAGGTTGAGCAACAGGAAGGTCTCTTTGAAAAGTGGCAGATGTGGTCATGTCTTGATTAAGAGGCTGATGCTTATCCAGTATGTTTTTCCCTTTGACAGAATTTGTATTATCACTTGCACGATTATTTAATAGATACAAATTATGTCGATCTTCAGGCTGAAGATTATGTGATGGTTGTAAGTCTCTGCTGTCTTCAGAATTCAAAGGGTGCTGTTTCACAGGTGAACTCAAAGGCTTTGAGGTACCTCTGGCCATGAGAAAGTTATCAGCATCCCTACTCTTCCTCTTTGACCCTTCAAGGCTGTCTAAACTGGAACAGCTATCACTAAGCTGAATGTTAGTATCATCATTCTCTAAATGATGCGAATCTTTGTGAGTTCCTTCATTCTCATGTGTACCAAAGTCCCTGTCAATTTCCCTGCGGATGGCATTGTTAAAGTCTAGCAAAGCTTGTTGCTGTTGTTCGAACAACATGTTCTGTTGCTGCTCCAGTTGTTGCTCAAACAAACTCCGGCTGCTGGTTAAGTTTTTCATGCTGTGGTCCATCATTTCTGCTCGAGCATCAGGGTCCATTTGATGCCCCGGCCTTCCAGAGGAGGGACGAGAGGAATGGTGTCGAGTCTGGTCAAAATAAGATTTTTCCAAAGGGTCTGCATTATCAGTGCCAGGTGAAAGCACATGATGATGGTTTGAATGTGGGCGACCAACCTGAGGATTACCTCTGATCAGTGTAAGAGCATCTTCCAATGCAGTTCCTGTGTGCCTTCTTGGGCTCAGTCGCCCACTTCCTTGTCTGGAACTTGGAGGAATATGCGATCGTTGATACTTTTCTGTTGCTTGATTTTGTTCTTCTCTTCTTTTAGAAAGTATTTCTTGCCGTCTTTTTTCTTCACGCTGTGCTTCCAATTTACGTTTGTGAGCCTGGATTCTGAAACATCCCCGAAAAAATTAAAAGAATAAAAAGCAATAAAAATGCTGTGGACATAGATAACAAATCCTAAATTTCCAGTTATCACCAGAAATCATTTAAAGAAGGAAAATTATTTAAAATCATCAACGCAGCTCCTCAAAGCAAGCATGTAAATAAAAATGAATTTTAAAAAGTAAATTGATGGCAAAAGAGTGTGCATTATACTGTTGGCACTTTGTTGGAAGCTTGTTCACTCGAATTTATAAATTTTACAGGAAAGACAAAGAAACTCTGTCGGTTTTAACATGTACACTTTGGCAATCAAATTTTGTCAATGTATTGTGAAGGGCCTTTGAAAAAAATCCTGCAATAAAGTATGTGTACTGAACTTATTATTATTACTATGCAATATGAGTTAGTGACAAAACATTCTTTGGTCAGTTCTTGGAAGTGTGAATGATGCTGTTGTTTTACTTTTTTAGATATGACCTTTCAAAGCTGGAAAATTGTTGATTTCATATGACACCTTCGATATTGCATCATCACTTTTAGAGACCCCAAAGTAATATAATAGGAATAAATCTTCAATATTATATCGCTATCTGATATATTATTTTTTAAACTTCAGTTTGATGGGCCATAAGATATGGTTTGTGTGTGTTTAGGTGGATGTTTTGACATTTTCCTTTGGCGGGGTAGGGGCGTAAAAATAGGTCAGGGAAAAGCCCTGGGCCAGTGGTGGATTTTGGCCTGGTAGGAAAAGAGTTAAAGGTTGGCATGTGTGGGTTCGCCTGCCAATCCACGGTGAACTTGCTACACGTTTTTCACAAGTTCGAGTATGTGACGAGATAACTGTGACGACATCACTGGAAGTATGTGACGACTTCAACGTGTGATGAGTTAACTGGAAGCCTTTTTTACCCTTGTCCACAACAATAAATATTGATACAAAAATTATACCACACTACAATATCGTTATAAAGCAATATGAATCAAACATTTGATGTCAATTTACTGGTTTAATGATATTTTGATTCCCATTTAAAAAAATTAAATTTTAAACATTAAATTTTAAAAATAAAATCAATCATAAAAGCAACAAAAAAAAATAAAAACAATACTCACAGCAACAAAAATTAAATAAGGTACAAATCTGGTCATACAAGCATTAACACTTTAACATTCATATATAGGCCTAAACCAAAATTAGATAAGTGGGGCTATGTGGAATTAGAGGTTTGCAGTTGAATGGGAAGACTATCTAAGATTCACAAACTCACTTTCGTCTCTTGTTAGTCTCTTGAGACAATCTTTTGGCCTTTGAAATGGTGTCAAATCTATTTCTGTCCTCCAACTCCTCTTTCTCCAGGGCTCTAAAATGCTGGCTATAAAATTAAGAAAATTTAATATCCAGATATCTGAGAAAACATACTTAAACATAGTACCACAACATTGCAACCTCTGTCAGAGCTCTCTACTCTAGTAGAGCTGTAACTTGGAATTTGTCCATGCAAAATCAACACTCACAGTAAAAATATCATATTCTGGTACAAAAAATTGAACCTATATTATTTCGCAATATAATAACAGTTCATCCATCAGTTTCTGACATGATGGCCAATATGCATCTTTAGAGGATATTATTTCTCCGGTAAAACAGAAGAAATATCAGGGTTAAGATGACTTGTGTGACTTTTGCTAAGGCCAAAATGACACCTCTACCAATTCAGCCAGAAAAGAGTTTGCCACATTTTGAGCATAGTAAAATTATAAACTAATTGCATCATTGAAGATCAGAAATATCCAGATTCTATTCCAGTGTTTCTCTTGTAAAATGCTTTGGACAATGAGCAACATTTAAATTGTTTGCGATTGACCACTGTGTTCATGATTTATTATTCCTTGAGTGCCATTGTAAATCAGGCGCTAGTCCAAATGATGAAATCGAAGAAACTGACATTTTTCTGCTCTTTGGGTTATTTCTTTTTTTTTAGGGGCCTCTACACTTTTCATGAACACTTAAAAACAATAGCTACGCGAAGTGGTGGGTCTAGGGTAGAGGTGGGGCGGGTGGACCACCTGCGGGCGAGCCTCTAGACTAGAATTGCCCATGCCTGAGGCAAATAATTTTAATTTCACAGCGGCGACAGTGACACGGTCGGTCTGTTCTTCCCTTTCACTCGTTTTTCCCATGAACCCGGTAAATTTTATCCACTATTTTTTTAACTTAAACAAATAGCGTTTCAATCGTGACCACAAAATGTCGTTCACTTTAATCGATTGTTCAAATAAAGTACGTTCACTTTAGGCGGACTCTACTGTATCTGAGTTGGTCTCATCGGTCAAAGCCATAAGTCAAAATAACCTTTAATTCTTCTACGCAGTGGCCCCGTTAACGTAGTTGGCAGGCTACGTTCATGGCACCCTGAATGCAGTATGCAGGCACTGTTGAGACTACGTTCACGGCACTAAAGCTTCATTTAGGGGGAGTGTCCACTGCCGGTTTAAGTCTGCCGGTTTTATTCAGTGACGTATCGTCGGTCGCCTGATGAAATCATGAATAATGATGAATTCACACGAAGCAAATTTTACAGGAGAGGGAAAAAACTGATTTTCTTTGTCATTTGGCGTTCAAGACATAAACTAAATGGGTAAATCTCTAATTATACCTTTTAAAAATACAGTAGTCTCCGCCTAAGATCCCGGTGCTCGGGAGCAAGGAAAAGCGGGATCTTAGGCGAACCGGGATCTTAACCGACGAACTCAGGGAAGAATCTATGGTGACCCATGTTAAGGCTTACAATCGGTAAAATGGTCTCCCTCCACTCTAAAATGAACTGACGTGACCGCTTGGTGGGTTTATGACGTATGGCGAGCAAAGAGTGGTTAACCTTGATGACCTATCACAGCACACAGTGGGATGAGGTGTGCCATTTTCACTTATTATCCTATCATGAGGCTCAAGATCTACGCTTCTCAAGTTGCCCCTCCCCTCTCCCTTACCTATAGAAAATTTATAGCTTTCCATCTCCCCCAACCGCCTTTGTCGTTACACACCATTACGTTGTGAACACACCAATTAAAATTCAGTCTGTCTCGCAAATTCGGGAGTAGAAACAACTTCTGCAATGGTCAGGGAAGAGTTCACAGTTCAACGTGATCCCGCCTGGAGCGAACGTGTAGGCCCTACCCACCCAGCGAGTGATGTAAGTTTAGGGGGATAGCTCAGGTGTGAGTGCGATGCTCGAGGAAAACAAACGTGTCGGTCAGTTCACACCCCGGTGTGATCCCGTCTGGGGCAAACACTATATCGCTTCATCGAGTTTTACAACGTGTATGTGATCACATTCACGATGGTAGCTGATCTTTGACGCGACGGACAATTTATTGACCTCAAATTTTCACTCTTGGTTGATCGGCTGTCCCGCCCGCGTTTTTTTCCGCAATGTATGATCTGAAATGCGGGATCTTAGCCGAATGTAGACCTTCAGAGTGAATCAGAGCGGGATCTTAGGGGTGACTTTTGTATAGTAAAAATTCTGTTTTCTTAAAACAGCGGGATCTTAAGCGAACCGGGATCGTAAGCGGTGGGATCTTAGGCGGAGACTACTGTAATACTGTAGTACATACTGTAGATGGTTCTTTTTTCGAAAAAGTGTGGGATTCACTATTTTCATATCCGAATCTCGCCTGATGCAGTCGCGGAATTCAAGATTTCATCAGTAGGCTTTATGAAACGCTGTGTTGTATACACAGCGTGGTGGAATCAGGCTCTCGTCAAAATAATCAAAGTGAAGAAACTCGCATTTTTCTGCAGGTTTGTGAATTTTTTTCAAATGTTTGTTTTTTGGCTCTACACCTTTCATGCCCATTAACTCATTCGCTACGCCGAGCCGTGGGGGGGCGGCGCGGCTAAAGTGCCGTCAGTATGCTAAGCCGCCCCCGGCGGCTTGAGAACCGACGTTCAATTTCAGCTTGGTTTCTATTCCAATCCACATATCCATGTTAAAATAAAGGTCATAATATAAAGTTGACTTCCGGGTCAAGCGTTTCCACTGAAAATCGGAAGTTTTGATTCAGTTTTGAAACACGACTTCGAAGTTTATTCGACATTATTTTATCGCGAAGCCCAAATTATAGCCCAGACGCCAGTCTTAGTACTTTTACACAACAAAATGTATCATTATTTTGCTCACTAAAGAAGTGTAGGACTCTTCTTTATAATATTGATACTACTGGACTCAAATTGCTAGTGCACTGTAATTGCGAAATCAATATTTTTGAGTGCTAGATCTAGGCCTAGATCTAAATAGTCAAAATATTTTTTTCTCTCCCCAAAATCACTACTTTTTTGTGAATTTACTCAAAAAGTACCACCCAAGACATGTATAGGTTTATTCCAAATGCAATTTTGAATAATTCCATGTAAGATACGAGTGGTTTTTTTCTGTTTGGGATCTTTTTTTCAAAATTATTTTAAAATTTAATTTTTTTCAGTATCGGAGGTTATGATCCAAATGTACAAATATTATGGAATGTATGTAAATGACTCCTCATTTTTCAATATTTTCCTTTTCTATATACAGTTATGGTTATTTTGATGTATAATTTGACTAGGTGCAAACATAATTTTTGAGTTTCATCTGAGATTATAAATTTTTTGTTTTCAAATTTTATCCGCAGACGATCAAAATTGTGTTGCATAATCGCCTCTTACAGGAACCAAAGTTGAAAAATACTCAAATAAACAATACAGATGTATTCTACAAACCATACTGAAAATGTTGGTATATAATATGTTGATATTTATTTGAATTTATGGCCCCCAAGACCTGTGAACTGCGCACTAGTCATCACCTCATTTCGCCCTCCCGAAAAAAATTCGTCCACAAGCCGAAAATAATACGTAGCGAATGAGTTAAAGAACTCATTTCTGTGTGGATTTTTCTGAAAAACGTTGATTAAAGGCACAAAAATGTAAATTTTCAGTTACCACAGACTCTTAAGCTAAGGAAATAACTAATCTTTGGCGGCCATTTTCTCACTAATTTTATCTCTGAAAACAGGTGACCCCCACCTCCTTCATTTGCAAATATCTCGACTTGTATTCAAGATAAATGGATACTTTTTTCACCCAAATAAAGATAAGTGAATAAGCTTTAAGATGATACCAATAACTCTACATGCCCCAAAATTGACGAGAGCCTGATTCCACCACGTTGCGTCACATATATTGTTATAACCTTCTACATATTTGTGCACATTGAAAATTAGTCCATCAAGCAATTTGTGAATTCAATTGCAATCAAACCACCTTGTGCCTTGTGCTATAAGTAGTAGATGGCATCATACGAGGTTGCATTGAAAATTGTGTGCATTCTTTTGAAACAAGAGCAGGAGTAACTGATAGACAGTGCCAAAAGCACACCCTGAAGATTCATGCAAATCATCACAAGGTCTTCTTGCCCAAGAGCAAAGGTTATATCCATGGCGTGTCCTTTCTTTGTCCTTTTATTATCTGACATGTGAGATTCCCACTTAGTCTGGCTGACATTGTCAAGACTCAAAACTCAAGCACAAATTCACATTGGTCTTTTTTGGCTCTTAGATTGACATGTTCTTTACATCTAGCCCAAGTTTGAGTAGTCTGACATACAGGGCAGATTGTCCCTGACCTGTGCAGGCTGTTTCGTAAAACCAATGAAGCTCTGACAGATTACAAAATTAGGGATCAAGATACAGTTTTCCAGAGCTATGCTGGCAATAGTGGGAGGGAACCTTCGGAAGCATGGCCACAGATGTGAACAGAAACTCCTTGGCTTGCACGCCCCTTGTGGATTGTTTGGTGGTGCAGCGTGGATTGGGCTCTTCAAAAGCACTCTTTACAAAGTGCTGGAGGATGCAAGTAACCATCAACAAGTGCCTGGGGAAGTTCCTCAGTATGAGATGGACAGACAGAGTCACCAGAGAGAAAGTATTAAGCAGAACATTTTCAGACAGAACACAGCAGTTGAGATGGATTGGACTGAGCAAACCATCTGGAAATCAGGCAGCTACATAACACAGAAAAATCTTACTTGGAGTCCACAGGTTAAAAGACCGAGGGAAGGGTATGTGGAGCCTGTAGAAAAGTAACAGAGAATAATGAACAGAAAAGTGGAAAGACATTTGAAAAATATGAAGAAGTTAGCCCAGCAAAGGTAGGGAATAATGGAAAGTGTTTGTCCGAACGGAGTGAGTCTTTTTTTTTTTATAGTAGAGGGTTTTACGGCGCTCGCAACTGCATAAGGTCATATGAGCACCAAGGGGTGGGTGTCAACAGAGAAGTCTTTACAGGGAATCAGACTTAGACTGCTCACCTCTCTAGCTTCAACAGCACAAGGTC